CTCCACTAAGAAAGCCATCAATAAACATATAGAGCTCAACCCCACGTACACTCCACTGCGAAGGAAAACCGGGAGTGAGGTAATCCAGCCCAATGGACACCAGAGTTCAAATAACAGACGGGAAAACACAACAGCGCTTCATTGGAGGCTGCACTGATGACTTTACTCAGCAGGGTAATGAAAGGTCTACGGAGCAACGAACCAGCTCAGCGAGCCAAGCAACCGCAACATCCACAACCCAAGCTACAAATCTACTCTAAAACCTTAAAGATAAATTCTAATATATGGAATGTCCATTCATAACTCTGGTAACAACGGGGAAGAAGCTGCACTTAAATCTGTTGGTACGTGTTTTCAAATTTTTGTATCTGCTACCCAATGGAAGAGGATGGAGAAGAATACAGCCAGAAGTATAGACAGAGTCAATGGAAGGAAGGTTAGTTTTCATGATGGACTGGGCTCCATTCAGAACTCTGTAATTTCTTGCAGTCTTGGGCAGAATAGTTGCCATACCAAGTTATGATTCATCTGGATAAGAGACTTTCTATGGCACATCTATAAAAATTGGTGAACATCATTCTGAACATGTTGAATTTCCTTAACCTTCTGAGGAAGTAGAGGTGCTGGTGCACAAGACTAGGCCAATTGACCCCTCAAACCAACTGCACCATTCAATACAATCACGTTTGATCGTCAAGCTCAACACCCTAATCGTGGCCTCCCCTCACAATATTCCTGTACACAATATTCCAGATGTGGCCTCACCAATGTCCTATATTATTGCAGAAAGACCTTCTTGTACTCAAATCTTCTCCCGACAAAAGCCAACATACAGTTTGCCTTCTTTACCACCTGCTGCACCTCCCTGCTTACTTGTAGCAGCTGGTGCATAAGAATACCAGATCTCTTTGAACATTCCCCTCTTTCAATTTACAGCAAGATAATGAAATGCCTTCCTACTTTAGCAATCGGATAACCTCACATTCATCGATATGTCCTGCATCTACCATGCATTTGTCCAAATCACAGCACATTTCAACACCTCCTCACAGATCACCCTTCCACTGCAAATTGAGATATTCCATTTAGTTCCCTCATCTAAATCTTTAACATATGTTGTGAATAGCTGGGGTCCCATCATCAATCTCTGCAGTACCCTAAGAGTCACAGCCTGCTATTCCAAAATATAGCAGTTATTCCTACGCTATTGCCTGTCAGCTAACCAACTTTCTATCCGTCTCAAAACACTTCACCCAATCCCATGCACTTTAATTTTATACAATAATCTCTACTTACATGGGATGTTGTTGGAGGCCTTTTGAAAAGCCCAAAAATAACAACTCCACTGGTTCTTCCTGATCAACTCTACTAGTTACATCTTTGGAGAATTCCAGTAGATTTGCCGAACATGATATCCCTTTTACAAATCTATGCCAACTGTGTCTGATCTGTTTTCTAAGTGCTCTTTTATAAAATCATTTATTAAAAATGTTAGCATTTTCCCCACTTGCAACATCAGACCTTGTTTCAGGTCAATGTTCATTCATTAAAACTGTAAAAATATGAAGGTTTTAAGCAACTTCAAAAGGAAGGGAAAAGGAGGATGGAAGAAACACCAAAACAAACGATGATGCAACAATTTCTAAATACTTTTACATTAACAGAATGCTATGCTTCACACACAAATATGACACCAAGTTACACGAGATCTTAGATAAGATTATTAGACGTCTGGTTAGAGACAACCTTTTGAAAGCTAAGAGAGGGGTGTAGAGACAGAGAGGAAAAAAAATGAAATCAGAGCTGAAACGGATTTAAATGGAAGCACAGGTCACTTGGCAAAAATGGATAGTTACTCTTTATTTTTTCTTCTTCTGTCTCATCTCTGCCTTGAACTTAAATATATTTAATATATTTTATGTTTCTATTTCAGATTTAGCATTTGCTATATAAAAACCAAAAAGGACTGTGGATGCTGTAAACCAGGAACAAAAACAGAAGTTACTGGAAGCTCAGCAGGTCTGGCAGTATCTGTGAAGAAAAAAAAAATCAAGAGTTAACGTTTCAGGTCCGGTGACCCTTCTTCAGAGCGTTAATTCTGATTTTTTCTTCACAGATGCTGCCAGATCTGCTGAGCTTCCAGCAACTTCTGTTTTTGTTCAGTATTTGCTATATTTGTTTTACAAGTTATTAAAACAAATTTAGAACACTGTTCCACACCCAATCTTTAATTACACTGCATAGTTAACCAGTACTCATCATGTCTAGAAAATATTTAAAATCTAAATCATATAGGGCCTACAGATGCCCAACATGACTCATAAATCCAAGTATAAGACTGCTAAAACTGTTAAACCGCACATACAGAACTTTGTGTAGAAATTCCTACAACATCTTTAAACAAAAATAACAAAACACAACCACAATTATCAACATGCAATCAGCAAATCAACAGGCAAACGTATGGTATTCCTGGAACGGGTTGATTAATTCTTAAATACACATGGGTCAACATAAATCACAGGTCATACCACCACAAACAGTTGCATTAAGCGCCTATCCAACGGCAAGATTCACCAAATTGGCATGAAAGACAAAACATTTCCTGGACAGAGATGGTAGGAACTGCAGATGCTGGTGAATCTGAGACAACAAGGTGCAGGGCTGGATGAACACAGCAGGTCAAGCAGCATCATAGGAGCAGAGAGGCTGACGTTTCGGGCCTAGACCCTTCATCAGAAAAGGGGGAGGGGAAGGGGGTTCTGAAATAAATAAGGAGAGAGTGGGAGGGGGATAGAAGATGGATAGAGGAGAGGAAACAAACAGGTCGAAGAGGCGGGGATGGGGCCAGTAAAGGTGAGTGTAGGTGGGGAGTTAGGGAGGGGATAGGCCAGTCCAGGGAGGACGGACAGGTCAGGGGGGCGGGATGAGGTTAGTCGGTAGGAGATGGAGGTGCGGCTTGAGGTGGGAGGAGGGGATAGGTGGGAGGAAGAACAGGTTAGGGAGGCAGGGACGAGCTGGACTGGTTTTGGGATGCGGTAGAGGGAGGGCAGATTTTGAAACTTGTGAAATCCACATTGATACCATTGGGCTGCAGGGTTCCCAAGCGGAATATGTGTTGCTGTTCCTGCAACCTTCGGGTGGCATCGTTGTGGCACTGCAGGAGGCATTTCCTGGACAAATCTATTGCGATATTTCGAGTATGCATTAGGTAACCAAATGTTTTCACTTGCAGCTGGCTGGTTTAGCACGCTGAGGATTTAGTGAACTACATGACAAACAGACGGATCAACTGATATCACAGTGTGGAGCTGGAGGAACACAGCAGGCCAGGCATCATCATAGGAGCAGGAAAGCTGAAGTTTCGGATCGGGACCCTTCTTCAGACTCTTTTTCTGAAGAAGGGTCCGGACCCGAAACGCCAACTTTTCTACTCCTGTGATAAAGCCTGGCCTGTTGTGTTCCTCCAGCTCCACACTGCGTTATCTCCGACTCCAGCATCGGCAGTTCTTACTATATCCAGGTAGATCAACTGCCTGTCAATCACAACCAGGACCTAGATAAGCTTGCATGATCTGAACCATCAGCATACGAATGGCAAAGTATGTAGCTGAACACGTCTGCACATTGGCTTATAAAGACTGGCACAACAGGGCATTCTGCATCGTGTTAAATTCAACAATGTTTTAACAACTGGTACCCAAATCTCGCCCAACCCAAATGTGACATATCGGGGACCTTGCTAATAAATGAAGCCATTCAGTTCATAGCTAGATCCTCAACATATCACATTGCAGTGGGCAGACTGCTTCACCCTCCTCAGAGCTCCGTACCTGTGTTGATGGAACGCAGTCTGAAATATTCCAGGTTAGCCACTAGTTGAGCTCCAGCCATTTCAAACCCTGACTTTCCAGCCGCCAAAAAGTCAGGCACCGGCCCCGTACATGCGCACTAGTGCTAACAGCCCCCGCCGGCTCCAAACGAGTTTTTAACACAAACACGTTATGTTTTCTTTATGTGCTTCGCCGTCTTTACATGTATAAGTTACACGAAGACTTTAAAATTGCTATCTCAATCCAATTTTTGTTAAAAAGTTCCCCAAGTCTCCGGGGCGGCCGTTACTGCACATGCGCGTTCCTTGGCGGTTGGGATTATGAAGATTCAAACGGGCGGCGGGTTCTCTTCCACGTCCAGTCCTTAGCCGCCATCTCAATGAAACTAAACATTTAAATTAGTAATAAACACCGAGGATACTACAGAAATGTAGTAAATCTGGCGGCGCCTGTGAGAGAGAGAGACAGAAATTAACGTTTGAGTCACTCAACCTCAGACTGGAAACGTTAACTCTTGTTTCTTTCTCTACAGGCACTGCCAGACCAGCTGAGTTTCTCCAGCATTCTCTACGTTTAGTTTAGACTTGCAGTATTTTGCTTTAATTCTAATCAGTAGAATTCCTTCAGCGCAGATAGAGACTATTCAGCCCATCGAGTCTGCACCGACCCTCCGAAGAGCATCCCCGTAACCCCACGTAAGGTTTTAACCACGACTAACCCATCAAATCGACAGGACAATATTTAAGAGATAGTAGGAACTGCAGATGCTGGAGAATCTGAGATAACAAGGTGTAGAGCTGGATGAACACAGCAGGCCAAGCAAGAAACTTCAGCCTTCCTGCTGTGTTCATCCAGCTCTACACCGTGTTATCTAGGACAATATTTAACACGGCCAAACCACTTAACCTGGAAATATTTAATATTAAATTCAAAGTAAAAATATTAAATTTCAAAAGGAAAAACAAATTGTGTGGCTCGGGGTTGGAGGGAGGTAAAAAGGGGGGTTAAAATTTCACTTCCTTCTGAATTCAATTATTATTTTCATACACATAGCACATATTTTATAGAAGGCTGTGCTGTCACATGATGCCACGGCGGCGCATGCGCTTTTTCCGTTGGGGGGGGTTGGGCGGGAGAAGAGAGCGCATGCGTAGTGAGATCGAGGGCGAAGTTGCTGCAGAGACACAGAAACAGGAAAAAGGATCCGAGCCAGCCTGCACTCACTGGGCTGGTATTTGCACCGGGTCAATCAGCGTACTTTAAAGTGGGAAGAAATAGGGGATTCAGATCTACGCTGCACTCATAAGCAAAAACAAAAGACCAGCGGAAAATGAGCTTCTTCAGTTTTGGGCAAAGTGCAGAAATTGACGTTGTGTTGAATGACGCTGAGACTCGTAAAAGAGTAGAGCACAAGACAGAAGATGGGAAGAAGGATAAATACTACCTGTTTTACGATGGAGAGACCGTCTCCGGGAAAGTAAATGTCACCCTGAAAAACCCCGGGAAAAGGCTAGAACATCAGGGGATTAAAATCGAGTTCATAGGGCAAATTGGTAGGTACCCAGGGCCTTAATGTGGGATGCAACGCAACTTGTTCTTTGAATTGTTAGAGATTATGGTCGAGATGGTTGTTCAATCGTGTTGCTTCATTTGCAAAGCGCGTTGAACTGTTGGGAGGCGGATCTTACCAACTGGGCCCCCTCACTGAATGCAGTTGGACTATTGATAAGTCGAATCTGTCAGAAGAAATATGTTATCCCCTCTTTTATGCAACTACGGAATTAGATAGCAATCCTAGAGCCCAGTCTGAATTCATTTCTTCGAATTGTTATAGACATTGTTTTGAGCTATTAGACAACACCATTTTTAACACAGTAACATCTCCATTTTACTCCCAAACCAAGAAGAAGGGACATTAAAGCATTTTGTTAAGGAGGCTTTTAAGATTTAGTTGTCATGATGTAAGGGAGAGAGGTGATATTTAAGGGAGACTTCCAGAAAGTTAACAGCTGAATAGATTTAAGGTTCTGAGGCATAACCTTAGAAAATGGGAACAGGAGTAGGCCATTTGGCCTTTCAAGCCTGCTCCACCATTCAATTTGATCATGACTGATCACCCAACTCACCAATCTCATCATAAAACCCGCGGACAAGGGAGGCGCAGTTGTAGTATGGCGCACTGACCTCTACATTGCCGAGGCCAGACGCCAACTCTCCGACACCTCCTCTTACCGCCCCCTTGATCACGACCCCACCCCTGACCACCAAACCATCATCTCCCAAACCATCCACAACCTCATCACTTCAGGTGACCTCCCACCCACAGCCTCCAACCTTATCGTTCCCCAACCCCGCACCGCCCGCTTCTATCTCCTTCCCAAAATCCACAAACCTGACTGCCCTGGTCGACCCATTGTCTCCGCCTGCTTCTGCCCCACCGAACTTATCTCCACCTATCTCGACTCCATTTTCTCCCCCTTGTTCCAGGAACTCCCTACCTACGTCCGTGACACCATCCACACCCTCCACCTCCTCCAGAACTTCCAATTCCCCGGTCCCCAACACCCCATCTTTACCATGGACGTCCAGTCCCTATACACCTGCATTCCCCATACAGATGGCCTAAAGGCTCTCCACTTCTTCCTGTCCTGCAGGCCTGACCAATCCCCCTCCACTGACACCTTCATCTGCTTAGCCAACCTCGTCCTCACCCTCAACAACTTCTCTTTCAGTTCCTCCCACTTTCTACAGACAAAGCGGGTGGCCATGGGTACCCGCATGGGCCCAAGCTATGCCTACCTCTTTGTAGGTTACGTGGAACAATCCCTCTTCCGTACCTACACTGGCCCTAAACCCCGCCACTTCCTCCGTTACATTGATGACTGTATTGGCACCGCCTCGTGTACCCACGAGGAGCTCGAACAGTTCAACCACTTCACCAACACCTTCCACCCCAACCTTAAGTTCACCTGGACCATCTCTAATACCTCTCTCTCCTTCCTGGACCTCTCTGTCTCCATCTCCGGCAACCACCTAAAAACCGATATCAGTTTCAACCCCACCGACTCCCACAGCTACCTAGAATTCACCTCCTCCCACCCACCTTCCTGCAAAAATGCCATCCCCTATTCCCAATTCCTTCGCCTCTGCCGCATCTGCTCCCAGGATGAGGCATTCCACTCCCGTACATCTCAGTTGTCCTCGTTTTTCCAACTCCTCGTTTGTCCTCCGCAATTCCCCCCCCCCCCGCCAGTGTTCGAGAATGCCCTCAACCGTGTCTCCCGCATTTCCTGCAACTCATCCGTCACGCCCCCTCCCTGCAATAACAACCAAAACAGAATCCCCCTCGTCCTCACGTACCACCCCACCAGCCTCCGGATCCAACGCATCATCCTCCGACACTTCCGCCATCTGCAATCCGACCCCACCACCAAAGACATTTTTCCCTCCCCACCCTTATCTGCTTCCCGGAGGGACCACTCTCTCCGTGACTCCCTTGTCTGCTCCACACTCCCCTCCAGCCCCACCGCACCCGGCACTTTTCCCTGCAACAGCAGGAAGTGCTACACCTCCCCCCTCACCCCCATCCCAGGCCCCAAGAAGACTTTCCACATCAAGCAGATGTTCACCTGCACATCTGCTAATGTGGTATACTGCATCCGCTGTTCCCATTGTGGCCTCCTCTACATCGGGGGAACCAAGCGGAGGCTTGGGGACCGTTTTGCAGAACACCTATGCTCGCTTTGCACTAATCAACTGCACCTCCCAGTCGCGAACCATTTCAACTCCCCCTCCCATTCCGCAGACAACGTGTCCATCCTGGACCTCCTGCAGTGCCACAACGATGCTACCCGAAGGTTGCAGGAACAGCAACTCATATTCCGCTTGGGAACCCTGCAGCCCAATGGTATCAATGTGGACTTCACAAGCTTCAAAATCTCCCCTCCCCGCTACTGCATCCCAAAACCAGCCCAGCTTGTCCCATCCTCCCTAACCTGTCCTTCCTCCCACTTATACCCTCCTCCCACCTCAAGCCCCACCCCCATCTCCTACCTACTAACCTCATCCCACCCCCTTGACCTGTCCGTCCTCCCTGGACTGACCTATCTCCTCCCTACCTCCCCACCTACACTCACCTTTACTGGCTCCATCCCCGCCTCTTTGACCGGTCTGTCTCCTCTCCACCTATCTTCTCCTCTATCCATCTTCTATCCGCCTCCCCCTCTCTCCCTATTTATTTCAGATCCCCCTTCCCCTCCCCCATTTCTGAAGAAGGGTCCAGGCCCGAAACGTCAGCCTTCCTGCTCCTCTGATGCTGCTTGGCCTGCTGTGTTCATCCAGCTCTACATCTTGTTGTCTCAGATTCTCCAGCATCTACAGTTCCTACTATCTCAGTACCCAGTTCCTGCTTTTTCTTCATACCCTTTGATCCCTTTAGCACCAAAATCTATGCCTAACATCATGAAAACATTCAATGGTTTTGCCCCAATTGCATTCTGTAGCAGAGAATTCCACAGGCTTGTCACTCTCTGGGTGATAAAACTTCTCCTAATCTCAATCCTAAATGTCCTGCCCCGTATCCGAGGTCTGTAATGCCTTGCTTCTGGACTGCCTGATCATTGGGAACAACCTTCTTGCTGTACCCTGTCGGAATTTTATAGGTTTTTATAAAAATCACAACCCCCCCACCTCATTTTTCTAAACTCCAGTGAATACCACCCTACCGAAACAGTCTTTCTTCATACATCAGTGCTGCCATCCCAGGAATCAATCTGGTATGCCTTCGTTGCACTCCCTCCCATAGCCAGAACATCCTTCCTGAGGTAAAGAGACCAAATATGACTTAGACTCAAATATCAGATTGTGAGCAAGAGATACGGTGGAATGTGAAGAGCAAAGATTTTCCCATGGCACTAATGATCTGAAACTCCTCCACATGGATAGAGCAATAATTTAGAGGAGTGTCAGAATAGCTAAGATTAAAGTCGCAATGTTGCCATATGCTGCGCACAAATGACATTTAGTGTTTCTTTTATCCAGTACCAATTGGCTTGAATAGGACAGCACTATGCATAATAGGCAGTGGTTAAAATATGCAACGGATGAACATTATCAACAGTAATCAGTCAGTTTCAAAAGGAAATTGGCTGAACATTTGTAGCTTGCAGATAAACATTAGCAGAGTAACAGGGATTGAGCAAAGAATTGAGACTGGCCTAGAATGCTTCATGAGCTGACATAGACACAATGATCCAAATGGCTTCTTTCTGTGAAGTAAATGACATACCTTCTTGACTAAGCTTTTTGCATCACAAAGTTATGTTTAAAGGAGTATCTTGAAGAAAGAAATATGGAGACTCCTGTGCACGAAATCAAATTCTTGAGGCTATGACTGCTGAAACCATAGCCACTGATGCTGGAACAATTTATATTTGGGATGTACAAGAATCCAGGATTAGAAAAACTTTGATATATCAGAGTCCATGCAGCTGGAGAAAATTACAAGTGAGGTGCATTCGTTTGACACATTTGAAAATAATGGATTAAAATTAAGGTGTTGCTTAATTAGGAGCAAATGCATTTCAGTGAGCATGTGGTGATCAGTGAGTGGAACTTGGTGTGAGTTAGGACACAAGCAGCGTATTTTTGAGTAACCTTATATTGTGGAGGGTAGCCCATTTAGAGGCTGAATAAGTGTGAATAGGAATCCAAAATCCATAGGTAAAAAGACATGGGTGAGTTTCTGGCAGCAGGTGAGGTGATGTAAAATTGGGCAATGTTTTGGGAAGTAGGCTTTTTGGCCAATGACATGAATATGTGGTCAGAAGCTCTTAGGTTAAATGTGATATTAAGTTTGCAAACACTCTCGTCCAGCTTCAGTTGGTGGGGAAATAATTAAGTTAGTAGTTAGAGAATGTCATCTCAGTATTTGACTGGAGGAAATTTCTGGATACCAGACAAAAATCAGACAATTTGGAAATGCTGGAAAAACTGGGAGATGGTGAGACAGGCACAAAGGATAGATCCTTGGGAGTCACCAGAAATAACAATACTGAATGTAAAGAGAGGCCATTGCAGGTGATTCATGACTACCAGATGAGAATGAAGCTGAACAATTGCTGACCCACCAAGATGGACAATATTGATGAAGCATTGGAGCAGGTTGTTATAGTCAATGCTGGCAAAGAGTTCAGACAGGAAGAGAGGATTAGGATGGATAGTTAATATTTGTCAAGGTCACATCAGACTGTGACTGATAACAGTTGTTTTGATACTGTGGAAGAAACTTCATTGGAGGGATTTGGACTTTGCTGTCAGCTGAAGCCTTGTATACAATTCTGAATGCCATGCTTTAGGGAGAATGTAAAGGCCGTAGAAAGGTTGGAGAGAAGATATTAGGTACCAGAGATGAGGTGATGACAAGTATAGCATGCATTTTCATACAGTGCATTGAAAGCTTAATTTTGTATCTTTCAGTTTGATTTATTGTTGTCACGTGTACCAAGAAACAGTGAGAAGTGTTTTTTTTTTGCATCCATAGAGGCAGATCGTA